GCGGCCCGTCCTGGCCCACCGCAGCCTCAGGTGGGTTGGAGGACCCCAGGTGGACGGAGCCCAGAGAGGTGTGGTGCGGGCGCCCCTGCGCCACGATGAAGCGGTGGTCCAGGGTCTCGGTTAGCTGATATAGGATCCACAGTACCGTCCCTTCCGGCTTCTCCCAGGACGCTTGCCTTATTTTTCTTTTTCTGATTTTTAAAAGTTATGGCATGATGCACAAAATGTTTACTATCCTAACCATTTTAAAGTGTTCCTCTAAGTGGCACTAAATACGGTGACACGGTATGCGGTCATCTCCACCATTTCCGCTCCCACCTGCCCGCTCTGGGAATTTGGGTACTCTCAGTACCGCTGTATGTGTCTTGGTGTCTGCATGGATCTGAGCATGGATCGTGAGTACAGGCAGTACTTGTCCTGTGACCGGCTCATTTCACTCATTACATCCTTACCCTCACCTGGCTGGTGGAAGTACATAGAAATATAGCCTTTGAGTCTTGCTCTAGAGCTGGGTCCATGCTGGGGCAGTCACCATGCCAGGCTCACTCTTTGGCCTTGTGCCCCTATATCTGCAGCCAACACTGCCTGGCTTCTCAATAGAGGAATCAGCCTCCCTGGTTTAAGTGCCCATAGTCTACCTTCTAGGCACACCAGCAGGGTTGGTCAGTGGTCAGCTTCTAGAGCTACTTCCAGTTGTCCTGGTACTTTATTGCTGGAGCTTCCTGTGTGCCCATAGGGCATCTGTCACAGCCTGTGAGGAGCAATGAATTTTTCCTTTCTGCCCTATAGACTGTGGGCTCACAAAGAGTAGACTGTTGAGCTTTCCCTATCTTATTCTAGTAGCAACTTGTAAGTACACAGTGTTCCTTAAGTTAACCAGGGGCGTTTAACCATAGAGCCACATGCCCAGCTCTTTTTATTTTTTTATTTTGAGACAGGGTCTAAGTTGCTTAGGGCCTTGCTAAGTTGCTGAGGCTGCTTCGAACTCATGATCTCCTGCCTTAGCCTGTCAAGTGTCTGGGATTATAGTTGAGTGCCACCATGCCCAGCTCCTTTAAGTCTGTAGAGGAGTTATTCTTTTTTAGTTGTAGATGGACACAATACTTTTATTTTTTCATGTGCAGCTGAGGATTGAACCCAGTGCCTCACACATGCAAGGCGAGTGCTCTACCACTGAATCCCAGCCCCAGCCCATGGAGTATTTCTTAAGCAGATGAAGTCAGTGCAGGTTTCCATGTTTGCAAAACACTTGTTTTGATTTTATAATTGGTAATTTGGGGGGGAGACATTTAATTATTTATGAGTACTTTTATCATTTATCCCGCAGGTTCCCCCTAAAGGATTCAAAACGCCTGATCCAGTGGTTAAAAGCTGTTCAGAGGGAAAACTGGACCCCCACTAAGTATTCGTTCCTCTGTAGTGAACATTTCACCAAAGACAGCTTCTCCAAAAGGCTGGAGGACCAGCACCGCCTGCTCAAGCCCACAGCAGTGCCCTCCATCTTCCACCTGACAGAGAAGAAGAGGGGGGCTGCAGGCCATGGCCGGACTCGGAGAAAGGACGCCAGCAAGGTCTCGGGGGCCATGAGGGGCCGTGGGAGCACAGCCGCCGGGAGAGGGGCCGTGAGCACCTCTCCCTCCTCCGGTGGAACCCTGATGGCCCAGCCAGAGCCCCGCAAGCTGAAGCGAGCCACTCTGCAGGGTGAGGCCACACCCAGGACCCCCCCAGATCCCAGCATCCAGGAGCAGGCCCAGCAGTGTCTGGGGAAGACCCCAGGAGATGGACCATCGGCCACCAGGGCAGGCAGCCAGGGAGAAGAAGGAGCATGTCTGGAGGAAGCCAGGGGCCAGAATGCTGGCGCCACCTGGGCCGAGGGTGGCGGGGCAGACCGGAGCGGGGTGTCCGCAGAAGATTTCACTCCCCCAGGGTCTGGGGCCTGCAGGTTCATTGGCTCACTGCATTCCTACAGTTTCTCCTCCAAACACACTCGAGAGAGGCCTTCTGTTCCCCGAGAGCCCATTGACCGAAAGAGGCTGAAGAGAGATGTGGAGCCTAGTTGCAGCGGGAGTAGCCTGGGGCCGGACAAGAGTGTGGCCCAAAGCCCCCCGAGGTCCTCACTCACTGCCACGCCACAGAAGCCTTCCCAGAGCCCCTCTGCCCCGCCCACCGATGTCACCCCGAAGCCAGCTGCGGAGGCCGTGCAGAGCCAGCAGAGCGATGCCAGCCCCATGTCCATCAACGAGGTCATCTTGTCTGCATCGGGGGCCTGCAAGCTCATCGACTCGCTGCACTCCTACTGCTTCTCTGCCCGTCAGAGCAAGAGCCAGGTGTGCTGCCTGCGGGAGCAGGTGGAGAAGAAGAATGGCGAGCTCAAGAGCCTGCGGCAGAGGGTCAGCCGTTCCGACAGCCAGGTGCGCAAGCTGCGAGAGAAGCTGGACCAGCTCAGGAGAGCGAGCTTCCCCTACCTGAGCGGCCTGCTGCCCCCTAGCCGCGGTCAGTACCGAGCGTGAGTCCCCTCTCTCCCCCTGATGTGGTTTTCCTGCATCAGGGCTGGGTCACCTACTCCCTGGGTCTGGGATGGGACCTGATGGTAGCCACACTTTGTGGACAGGGGACTCAGATTAGATAGCTGACCTCACTTGCTCCTGGGTGTGTGGAAGTGTGGGCAGTTCACTGAAGGTCAGCCTGCACCCCACTGCACAGTGGGCCTCTGGTGGACCCCGAAGTCTGCTCCCTGTCCATGCTCCCAGAGCCAAGTTCCGCAAGTTAGAATCTCACAGAGATAAAGCAGAGTGAGTAAACTCTCAGAGAAATGCAGGTCACCCTTCCATTACTGTTTTCTGAATGTCCTTGAGGCTGAATCATTTTGAACACCCATAATCATTTCTTTAAACATCTATCCAGTGTTGAAACATCTATTCAAGTACGACACAGTCTGTTCTGTAAAAATTAAAACACTACAGAAATATGGGCTAAGAAGTGCTGAGAATTCCCTACCTCCCAATTCTGGTCTCTGTTAGTATTAAAAACTTGGTCTGTACTCTTCCATATTACATTCTTTGCCATTGCACAATAGGTTTCTCCCTGTGTTTTCATGTATTTATTGGCTGTTTGTTTTCACTTTGTTTTAGTTTTACGTACTTTCAAAGTAGACTTCAAGGTATAATGTTTTATATGTTAAGGATAGTGTCCTTTCCCTGTGGCGTGCATGTGGAAAGCGCTTTCCTGCCCCATGCTGGTGGGGGGAGAGTTTCCAGGGCTCCTGAACTTGTTTCCAGTACATGCTGCAGCTAATCTTTTGGAATTATTAATTTTATTGCTTAAGTTTTAATGATGTGGTCTCTTAAAGCAATCTGATTTTTTAAATCTTTGGAGGTTTTGTGCTGAAGACAGGGTCTGATCTTGGAATGCACTTCTCCACCAGCTGGTTACATTGTTCTCTGCAGGCTTCCTGTCAGGCACTCAGTCTGCGGGTTTCTGCAGAGGGGTCAGCCTTTTCCTGGGGTTCTGGAGGTGCCCTTTCTTCCTGTGCCTCTGCCAAGTTCTGCTTTAGGTTTAAGGACCTTGTTGTTAGATGCCTATATTTTCCTAACTTAGCAACACAGAAAAACTCTGTTATGTTTGAAGTCTTACCTGTCTCCTTATTTTCAGTCTTTTCCTATCATTTTATTTGATAGCTTTTTAAAAATCCAGTCTGAGAATCATCATTTTTATTGAGTAATCCCTTGCAGTTGTGATTACTATTATGTTGGAATTTGGGTCTGCCTTTTATTGTTTAATTTCTTTAAAATTTATTTTTCTATTCTTCTGGTTTGTGAATTTATTTACTTATTTTTGGGAGTTACTGGGGTCTGAACCTAGAGGCGATGATCTGTGTTCCTCGGCCAGTTCCATGCTGGGCTGGTTCCTGAAGCCTCCCCAGAGCCTTGCGGTGGGGCAGCTGCCCACCTCGTTCTTCACTGCGCTGTGGGCTGCCCCAGGTGTCCTGCCTTTCCCTCTACCTGTCGTGTCAGTCTGTACCGTCTAGGAAGCGGTTTCCTAGGGCTTTGGTTTTGTCTGTTGAGTCCGTAGATCAAGTCGACTGACATCTTAACATGTGGAGTCTTTCAGTTCATGAACATGAGATACTTCCACTTATTAGGCTCTTATATAACATCATTTTTATTAGTTTTGTAGTTTTTAACAAAATATATACATATTTCGTGAGATTTATACCTAAATATTTCCACTTTGGGTGCAAATATTAATTTTGTTGTGTTTTAGTTTCAAGATCCAATTGCTTATTACTAGTATACAGAAAAGCAAACAATTTTTTGTGTGTAAATTGCATATTCTGCAGCCTTGATAAAGTTCCTGTTAATTCCAGGAATTTTTTGTGGATTCTTGAGCTTTTTCTGCATTCATATTGTCCACAGACAGTTCTGTTTTTTCCTTCCTAAACCATATGTCTTTATTTCTGTTTTTGCTCCTGTGGCACCAGCAAGGCCTTCGGGGTGGTGGTGAGCCATGGTGAGAGGGAGCAGACTTGCCCAGCGCCCAGTCTTGGCAGGAAAGCTCCCTCATCCTCACGCCAAGCTGTGGTGCCATGACTTGAGAACTGAGAGTTTGGTCTTGCCTGACTCCTGGCACAGTGCTCTTAAGATTCTCATCTCCTGAGTGTGGCTGAAAGGAGTGTCTTTTGTTGTTTTTCAGAAGCCCTTTCAACCACACCTCAGTTGTGCTCTAAGGCTACTCCTGGGGGTGGTAATGGTCACTAGAGGGTGGGAGCTGAAAGCCCTGTTGACCCCTGCCCTGGGTGTGGGCTACAGAATAAGCTAACCACTGTTGGCCAGTGATGAATCAGTAGTGCCCACCCAGTGAGGTCCTGTACAGACCCTAACGGTCCAGAGAGCTGCTATACTGGCCAGCACTGGAGGTGGGGAGGGCCAGGACCTGCTGCATCCTCCCCCATGTTTGCCTTCCATGGTCCAGATGTCCAGTTCCATTCCATCACGTCAAGAGCACACAGTCTATGATTCCGGCTTTTACGTAGGTTTAGGTGTGTCTTAGGCCTGGAATGTGGCTCTCTTGGTGAATGCCCCTGTGAACTTGAGAAGAGTGAGGGTGAACCCATCCCAACAGGCCTGTTCTTTCTGTGCGTGCCTGGGAGCAGGGGGTGCATGGTCCCTAGGACTTTGTGGACCTGTGGTCTTTTCTGCATTAATTGCTTTTTCTGGTTGCATTAGCATGTAAACCTTTCTCTTTTTCATGTGTCTCTATTTATGGTAGGCTTCTTATGGATAGCACATAATTGGATTTTATTTTTAAATCTGCTCTGATGCCTATCCTTTTTTTTTTTAAGTTTTAATTTTTTTCTTTTGTGCTCTGCTTTTATTTAAAATATTCATTTTTCAGTTGTAGTTGGACACATACCTTTATTTTATTGATTTATGCTGAGGATTAAACCCGGGCCCCCGCGAGATAGGCGAGTGCTCTCCGGCAGAGCCACGCCCCAGCCCGTGTCTCTCTCAGCTGGTGTGCCTGGGCCAGTCCCCCTTGGGGCAGTCGCAGGAGCTGCTGGGTCAGCGTGGGCCTCTCCCAGCTCACCCCCTGCTCCTCCTCACTTCTTAGCACACCAGTCCGGCTTCTGTCACATTCACCATGAGGCCACTTTTCCTAGCACTGTGGTGTTGGAGAGTGGAGCGCGGGCCTGTGACAGAAGCCCATGTCGCTGCCTCCCTGTGGGTCGAGCTTGGTGTCAGCAGGAGAGGAGAGCACCCACCTGCCCTGCCTCCCCGACAGGTTTCCGACCAGGCTGCACACTGCTCCTCCTGGCACTGAGCCCCCTCCAGCCCTGGGAAGTTGCTCTGTCCCTAAGCTTTTGCTCCATGGGTGAGGCCTTCCCTCTGGCTCCTTTCATGACCTTCCTTGTCCCTGGGCTTTTGTAGTCAGAGTGTGCTATGCTCTGTGGGGTGTTCTGGTTTCCAGTGTGCTCAGTGTTCTCTGCCTCCCCTGCCTCTGCGGTCTGCTGGCTGCTGCTGGTCTGAGGAGATCCTCAGCCATTGCTCCTCCCTGTGCTCCTGGTGCTCCTTTCTGCTCTTTCTGGTACTCCCACTGCTCTTGTGAGGCGCTCTGGGTACGGTCCCAGGGCTTGCTGGTGCTCTGACTTGGACTGATTGTGTAGTGCCCCATGTTCCTCTGCCCTTCAGTTGGCGGGCTTTCTGGTGACCGCCCCCCTCGGCCCTGAGGAACCACTGAGAGCAGTCCTTTCTGCAGCAGCATCTTCATCTGAGCACTTTCTTGGGCTCCTCTGGGCGTCTCCTACATGGCTGTGTGCTCTCTCGCACAGCACAGAGCGCGCTGGACGCAGCTTCACAGACTCAGTCTGAAGACTGCAGCCCCCAGCCAGAGACCTGAGATGAGGCTTGCTGGAGACAGAGCCCTGCAGAGGCAGGTGCCAAGTTGCGGCCCCAGGAGAGCCCCCCTGAATGCAGGCACTCAGTCTCCCCCACCACTGCCACCATGGGGCCCCTGCACTAGGGCCCTAGGGCTGCTGCCCAGGTTAGCAGACCTGGCTGTGGTTGTGTTAGGGTTCCGTCTGTGGCTCCTACTTGGCGCTCCATGTTAGGGGGGCCGTCTGTGGCCCCTCCTCTGGTGTTCTGTGTTAGGAGGGCCGTCTGTGGCCCCTCCTGGTTCTCCATGTCTAGGGGCCGTCTGTGGCCCCTCCTGGTTCTCCATGTCTAGGGG